ACACACACACACACGTGGCCGTCTTCGGCGCACGTGTCATTTTTCGGAAAAAGCGCTCGCACTCTTTGGCACTGTGTCCCTTCAGGACATACAACTTTACAAGCGCTTTGCGGCGCTCTGGCATAAAACCTAAATAGGGACCTAAAAAGCCTTAGAAAAGAAAGAAAGAAAGACAGAAAGAGCAGCGCTAAAAGGGCAGGAGAGAAAGATAGGTGTAGGAAAAGGTGAATACTTAGCCCTTGACTGGGGTAGGGAAACGAACCTCAAGAATCACCTAAAAAGCTCGAAAGAAAGCCCAACAAACGACGGAAAACGCAAGAAGGAAAGCGGGGGGCAGGGAGGGGATGTATGTCCATGTGTGTGTACATGTGTGTGTCTGAATACTTAGCACTCTAGAGTTACTGACTACTTAGCAGAAATGAATTAAGTGCAACAGTTAGGGAGCGGGACCTCAGTCTTAAACCGCCCGGGTAGAGTAGGCTAGAACAGGGACAACAGAGGGAAAGGCGCCGACGCGCAAGTGTGTCGAGTACCATTTCCCTCTGTTACCCTGATTAGTGGGAGGGGGGTTGGGGTGTGTGGGTAGAGAGCTCGTTTGGGTTTATTCTCCGTGAGCCCGGCGGCTTGGCATTCCATGAAAGCCCGGCGGCTTACGATTCAGGCAATCCAGTGGTGACACTAAGTCAGTTAAGAAAATCCGAGGTATGGTGGAAGCGATGAAAGCAGTTACACGAATTCCAGAATGAGAACGGCGCCTCCTTGCGGAGGATCACACCCAGCACCCAAAGTGGGACGACTGAGCGAGTCACACTCTGACATTGGTTTTCAGTTAACTCAGTTCCCAGGTGGAAGGAAGGTGGAGAAGCGCAAGGTGAAAAAGGTCGGCTGGAACAGTGGTTTAACCTTGTTTTCAAATGCACTCGAAAACGATCGGACACTCAGCGCGGCTGCAAAGCGGCAGTGGAGAGGGTTTGTGGGAAGTATCGTGAACCACCATGGAATCAAAAAAGGAAAAATGGACAGCGTGAGCAACAGTTTCTTGGCAGGTACACGGTCAGACGTCTCTGACCGCATCCCATGACATCACTAGCTTCGTTGGCCAGCGTCGTGATGTCGTGCGCTGGCCCCCTGCTGAAAAAGAAATCAGAAACCTGAACGAAAGGTGGAAACCCTTAGGTACAGGGGTTGACGCACACACACACAAAAGCGTTTCAGTCTGTCTTGCTGCAAAGCCTACATTCCAAGACAATGTTCCAGTATTTTCCAGAATGGCGGATATGCTTTTGTTCCTAGCACCAGGCGCAAAGAGAGCCTTCGTTTCGACTCAAAGGATGTGCTGGGATCCCAAATGACTACATCCCTTCACCTTGACTCCTTCACACAGCTGTGGGTTTGTGGCAATTTCTTGCAAAAAAACCAACTACTCCAAACTGCCCTCCAAACGCAGTGGTTTACAGTCCAAAGCTGAGCCACAGACAAACGCAGGTCCTTGACATCTGTATAGCGACGCACAGGGTGCAAAAGGCGCAGAAGTGAGGCTACTAGGAGCAAGGACGCTACTAGGGGCTCCTGGCCTTACTACTAGGAACAAGGACGCTACTAGGAACAAAGGGCATCGCTACTAGGAACAAGGACGCTACTAGGGGTCTCACGCCAAGGCTGCTGCCACCGAAGCAGCTTCAGATTTCATTGCGGCAGTGGACGGAAAGATCGAGATGGAGGCCAGGCCAGTATGTACTTGTTTCTATTCGAGGGGGCACACTGCACATTAGTCAGTAGACTCATCAGACCACGCTTGATTGTCGCGAAGTTAGCCGCCAAGTTAGCTCAAAGGGGGTATATCTGATTTTGCACCTGCTTCAGCAACATTATACGCCGAGGTTTTCCTTTGAAATGTTATTGTGAAAGGGCACCCTCCTCACGTGTAGCCACAGGGGCTCGAGGGAAGAAAAAGGGTTGGCGCTCCCACTTTTGAGTGGCAGCGGAGCATAGGTTTTTTCCTTGGCGACTTTTGGGGTGGCGGCGCTGGGGGCCGGGCTACGCTGGTGGTTTTTTGGTACAGGTTCCTCGAGCGTCTTGGCTATGACCTCGTACTATGACGTGTTCGAGGTGGCGCCGGGGGATGAGCCCAGTGGTGTCTCGGAGGGCGATTCCGAGTGGAATCCATCGGATGTGATGTGCCTGGTGAAGAACTCGTGGGCCACCTGGCGGGGTTGGGAAGGTGGCCGTGGTGACAACTGGTCATGGGATGACCGGTCTATGGGTGGCGAAAGCCAACGATCATGGAGCGACTGGTCTGGTCGAGCTGGACGAGCACGAGTATACCCGATTCTGAACAAGGACAAGGGCCTTGGCGGTCTATGGATGGGGAGCGCCAACACGGCGGAGGGCGAGTACATGAAAATTGGTCACGGGATGATCGAGCAGGGGAATCCGATCCAGGCCAAGGGCATGTACACGGGACTCCAGAGATCGAGATCGACGACTATAGGAGGACACCGTCCAGCACCCGATCAGCGACAAGTTCATGAGCGCGATTGGGGAGGCGTGCCAGATCCTCGACCCCCTGGAGATGAGCCGAAGAGTCAGGGCAATGGGAGGGGTAAGAACTGGTCCGAGATAAAGGCCCTGGCGAACCTGGGAGGCTGACGTCGAGGAGAACCACTACCTCAAGAATGTCATCGATCGATCGAGAGGGGGACGTCAAGGCCGTGTTGGAGGCGCAGCTGGTGACTGGCAAGTTGAGGGTGGAGTACCAATGGAAGCAGCTCTCAGCGGAGTGGCAAGAGGCCTATGAGAAGCCGTTGGTGAAGGCGGTACAAGTGTATTTTGACCACGACGCCATTGAGGGGGCCCCCAACGATGCCATCGTCGATCCCCGGAAGATCCTGGCACGGTGGATCCTGGGTGACCGCAAGGACATTGAGGCCGGCAGGTATCCAACTTTGGCTCCGACGGCGAGCCTGCTGGGGCACAACGTTCTGAACATGGTGGCGGTGCAGATGGGCTGGGTGGTGCACTACGAGGATGTGAGCGCAGCCTTCCTTCAAGGCCAGAAGTTGCCGGCTGAGCGAGAGGTCTATGTCAGGCTCCCGACGGGTTACCCCTATATGTCGTGACGGACTACATCAAGGAGCAGGTGGAAAGTGGCTGCAGGCACGACCTCCTGAGGTTGCTCAAGGTTGGGTTCGGACTGGCAGAATCTCCGCGGCTATGGTACCTGGAGTATAAGGCCACCTTGAAGCAGATCAAGCTGAACGAGCTGCAGCTGATTCCTGGGATGTTTGTTGCCTTCCACCCGGATGGTCGGTTGAGGGCGGTGGTTACCATCCGTGTGGATGACGCCCGCTATGCTGGAGATGAGACCTCTCAGAGGAGATTTGGGATGCGCTGCATGAGCGTTTGAAGTTCGGTCAACACCGCCTCGCGACCGATGGATGGCAAAAGTTCTGTGGCCGCTACGAGAAGCAAGACCCGGAGACCTTGGAATTTCTCTACAGCATGGAGAATTACGTGGAGAAGATTCCGGAGTGAGAAGGAGCGCAGCAAGATTATCTTTCCTACGGTGTGTCCCACTGCCAGCAGTTGGCTGGTGCTGGAAAGCGGGAGGCCATGGAGTGGACGGCAAAGCTGGTGGGTCGCGCCAAGAAGGAGGTGATCGTGAAGGTTCCTCGGTTGGGTTGCGACCTGAAAAGGACATGATCGTGGTGTCGGCCAGCGACGCGGCTTTTGCAGCTCAGCCCAAGGGACACTCCCAAGGTGGGCTCACTTGCATGGTAGCCCACCCAGATGCCTTGGAGAAGAGCGCTCCGGTATGCCTGCTGGAAGCGCAAAGCATGAAGATCCATAATTTTGTGAGGTGCAGCGTGAGTGCCGAGCTGTCCATGGCCGCGGAAAGCTTCGAACATGGGGACTTCATCAGGGCGGCCTTGGCGGAGGTGATCTTCGCGGACTTCAAGCTGAGGTCATGGAAGTGGTATGCCAGCCACTGGAAGCACTACCTGGTGATCGACGCGAAGACTGGCTACGACGTGTTGGCCTCGGAAGCCCAGACTTCCGACCGGAAGATCCTCATCGACGCTGCTGTCTTGCGACAGGCCTTGGTGGAGGAGGGCTCGGGCAACTTCATTCGATGGATGCCCGGGAAGGAGATGATCAGCGACGGGCTGACAAAGTGGAGCGACAACGGTGCCCCACCACAAGTGACGCAGGAGGGGCGATGGAGCCTGGTGGACACTGAGGAAGCGCAAGCCCTCCGACGGGAGGCAGCCAACCGCAAAAGGCAGTGTGTCGCAAAGACACGTGAGGACCAGAGGGGGTAAGTGTGAAAGGGCACCCTCCTCACGTGTAGCCACAGGGGCTCGAGGGAAGAAAAAGGGTTGGCGCTCCCACTTTTGAGTGTTATCCTGACTTTCACCGTGACTTTCAACAAAGCAAAGGACCAGTGGACCAACCGACACCGTGACACACCATAATCGTAACCGACTGACTGAGCGAGCGAACAGCCAGACCGCCAAGCATCAGTTGACAGTGGTAAAACCACTGTGATGCACCATTTTCTCGCGAAAACCAAGACCACCATGTTTGCTAGCAACCTCACTGAGCCAACCGCCCAACTACCTAAACTATAATATAACCTACCAAGAACACACGGACAACCAATCAAGTAACAGACTAGCGGAGACTAGCGGTGACTGGCGGATGAACCAAACCAACAAACTAACCAACCTGGCCACAGAAGTCTACCAATAAACTAACTACGCTGTCTACCCCCTTTAGTCAAGCCCCGCCGGACACACTGCGAGGCTGCCGCAGCGGCCACTCCTGTTCTGCCACTCCCAAAGACGCGTACATTGGTGCTGGCAGATACAAGCGCGTCGCTTGGATGGTATTCGGCTCAAGCTCCTGCTTACGATCAAATGACAATATAGTCAGATAGAAAACAATACCAGTTCTAGAGATTTAGACCACATATAGTATTGTAGCAACAAGGATAATTGATTTCATTCTGTCAAACACTGATGAATAGAGTAGGACTGGATAGGACTCTTGAACTGGTAATCCCGACCCCAGAGCTAAACATGGGCAACTTTTGTTTGCAGCAGCTCGCACGCCCAGGCTGCATGCACGTGGGCCTGGTGTGCCTGGCACCCATCAACATGTGCCAAAAAGCCTGCTGGTGACATTGGAGAACAATTTGGAATTATGTGTAATTTTAGTCGTAACATAATGTAACATAGCTGTTTGGTTTGCACTGACCCTCTGGGGTCGTTTCCCAGGACCTCCCAAGTATGTTGCAGGACACGTTATCATGCTGCTGGCAGAAAAGCTGTGTTGGTAGAAAGCAGATCCTTTCACATCACCAGCAGGGAAGACATCTGAGTCTACGCATTGTTTGCACTTTCATTGGGCTATTGGTGCCTCAGCATCGAGAAAAAGTCACCGCAAAATCTGTTGCATTGGAGCAACTCTTGTAGAAAAAGACGGACACCGAGAACAAAGGAAGACATGGCTCTTCTAAAGGGGGTTTGCAGAACCTCTTAAGGCCCTTACCAAGTCTTACCTTCTAATTTTTTCACCATGCAATGTGCCTCTTACGCTGGCCCCGAGACCTGGACACGTGCGACAGTCTTGGCGCTTGAAGGGCGACAATGATGGTGGATTGAAGCGGCTCAATCCGTATCGCTTGGAGGCGGGATGTCGTCCTCCAAAAGTCGTATCTATCAGGTGTAACTGGTGGTTTGCTCGCTCAACCTGTGACTTAAAGTGCCATTGACACAGCGACAACAAACATGTTTGTGAAGAATGGAATGTGTGTGAACAAGGCCAAGGAAGAGCTCTGAGAATGCTGGCCAAAGATGCTAGCTTTCCATGGAGGACCTCTGTTATTGAAAAATGAGTGCCTGGGTCATACAGTTCTAATCAGTTCGAGTAATATAGTTCTACTTTTACATCAAGACCCCGCTGAAGCTCCCACCTTCGATACTGCAGAATTTTTTACTGCTTCAAGACGTGTGGAAGATGTGCAACCAGTGTCCAGAACAATGAGACCGTCAAGTCATGCTGCAAATAAATAGGTGTCTCAATTTTACGTCGCAGTACGCATACAACTCAATGGCAAAACCACAAACCTTTCCTTGAAGACTTGACACCATGATACCACCGAAAGGTGAAGCACGACCGCACCTCCTATATGACTATGTATATATATATATATATATATGTCAGCGCTGTTGCCGGGTCTTTTGGTCATTTCCATCCACCTTTTCGCACACCAAGTGCCAGCATCTATATACAGCTGAGCTGAACCAGCAAGGTGAGCTCCAGAGCCGTGAAAACAGCCGAAACGCGCACTGCGTTTCGCAAGATGGCGGCGCAAGCGCGGCAATCCATGGCTGCGCAGCGCGCTCGAGTGGTACGCTGCGTGCAAGTGTTGAGCGTGTGGATTGATCATTTACCAAGCATTGAAAGTTACACAAAAACAATGGTGAACATTTATGTGCCTGTTTGCAGTCGTCCGTTCTCGTACTGTTCTGACTGCTGCACAGTCTCTCCAAATAGGGCAAGCATATCCAGTAAATCCAGTGTCATTAAGCCACCAAGCGGACTAAGCGCATTAACTCACATTCATTTCGTGCTTGCAACATGTCCGCTTGTGACCAGCATGTAGGAACCACTTGCAGCTCGGCTCTTGCCATCCCACATTCAGATGCCGACACCGAACAAAGACTCCTCTGGGTCTGGTGTCAGGCGCAGAATCGCATGGTCATTCCAGCGCGGCAGCGGCTCTTGCCAATGCCCACCTTCGGACGGCAACCTGTCTCCGTGGTGGCTGGGCAAGTGGTTAGCATGCCAGAGGATGCTGATGTGGAGGTGGTTCAAGGACGAATTGCTGGGGAGCCTGGAGTACAGGGAAACAGTTCTTTCTCAAAGAGGAAGGCTCATGATAGAGCAAATGACATAAGCAGAATATTCATGTCCGGAAAGCAGGTTCAGAAATAGGAATCTTGCAGCCAATATCATGCAGCACGTGCATTAAATGCATCTGTGATTTGTTGGTATTCCGTCATATCTAAGCACTATTGACATCTATTGACCATTATATAATGCAATTTAAAGTGTATATATATATATATATATATCACGAAAGCCAGCCGATGGGCAAGGCTTGAGGTACGGGGAGCGAACGAAGTGTGTTAAAGGGGGTGTGGGGCGGGTGGTCGCGAGCGAGGTGGCCAATTTCGGAGAGGTGAACCCAGAGCCTGGTGGGGGAGAGCGAAAAAAAGAGACGGCCACTTGGTAGTGAAAATGAGTGGTTTTAGGGGTGTTGTGATGCCGGTGATGTAATTGACGGCCAGCATCATTAGCATCACGAGGGGCTCAAGAGGCAATGTAAACCGTTTTCTATCAGGGGTGAGTTCATGTCAATGATAGGAACGAGGGGACAACGGGACGCGAAAAGTGCTCTCATGGCCAGTGAAATAGTGTTCGACCAGGGGTGAAAGGGAGGTGTGTGTAGACATTGTGTGATCTGTGAGGAGCCAGAATGCTGTGGGGAAGGTGGAAGACAGGCATGGCGTAGGAGGACGTGCTTGGGGGTGCCCCTTTTTAATATTGAAGACGCCTGTCAACTATATGCAAAAGGGCACCCCATATGGGGTGTGAGTTCATGTAATGCTGTGGTGCGTTGAGGGCAGGAAAGAGAACAAAGTGCAGCGGGCAAGCTTTGAATTGCTTGGGGGTGCCCCTTTTTTTAACGGTGAAGAGGCCTAGTTGCCGAACTCAAAAAAACACCCCATATGGGGTGGGAGTTCATGTGGGCGAGACAGGCATAGCGGAGGAGGATGTGATAGGAAAAGAGGGACTGCAAGAAACGGGCAAGCTTTGAGTTGCTTGGGGGTGCCGTGTCTTTATGGTGGAGAGGCCTGTTGACCAGACGCAAAAGGGCACCCCATATGGAGTGGGAGTTCAATGTACAAAATGGGGATAGCGGGGGACGAGGTGATAGAAAAAGAGTTGGGGAGCCCACCAGGGCTCTCGCACTCACCCCCCATAGCCATTTTGATATTTTTTACGGCGGCTGGCTTTCGTCCCCTCCCTTCTCAAGTATGTAAGCTATAGTATACACGCTACATACTCCACCCTTGATCACGATAGTTCTGAGGAACGGGGCCCGTGGCATGAAACGCTGAAGACCTAGACTTGCTCGGTTTCAGCTTGTCCGGTTCGAACCAGCAATGATACTAGCCCTCTCAGCTTGTATGGCAGTTCGAGAAACAGTGATAACCCCAACTGAAACATTTGCGTGATGTTCTTGTTGTAAGTCATGCCAGGCACACACAGATAAAATTGCACGGATTGCTGGATTGCTATCAGAATCTGGTCTCGCTGCTTAGGGACCTGGAAATTCCAGACAATCTTCGCCTGGAACGGGGCAATACAGGCCAGCTGGCACGGAGCCTCAGGTTCACGGCTGCGACAGCTTTGGATAGTCTGGGAGGCAGTTTCTTGCAAACAAGGGCATATTCTCCTGCTTCCACACGGGATTTCTTTCCACTTAGAAGAAACTCCACTACTGTAATCAAGGTTATTTTTCAGCAGACTCAAACCTGTTGAAAGTGTGAACCAAGGTTTGTTTGGATGTTCAGCCAGCTGGTTTGTTACTGTCATGGCTTCGACTGGTTGCAAGGTGACCAAGTACAAAGGCTTGGGCCGCACTTTGATGGTGCGCTGGGCAGACCGGCCGGACGCATGCCGCCCTGGTTTGTTCTGGAAGTATTTGTGTAAGGATGATTCATTGGTCTTACTGTAGGCCTCACAGTTGCGTACCGTGAAATTAATAGATCGGAGCAGCGACAAGGAGTCCACGACCAGTTTTTGCTAACCACAAACCCATGAAATTCATGCATTGTGAGAAGGTAAAGTCTGAACGCTGTGCTGCGATTTTCATTGCCGTAAGTCGTCTAAATAGATGTTATGTAAATGCTTTCTTTCAACCTTTGTACTTTTGCAATAACTATTTGTTTGTGCTTTCACCAAGCACTTGAATGTTTTGTAAGAGTCACCTATCTTGTGCCCCTCCCAGCAATTCCTTTTTTCACTAGGCACTAGCGCTTCAAACACATCCTAACTCTCCTCATGTAGTGAGGTGGCTACTCGATGAGCTAGCCTAGTCTAGTGGTGAAGGTTTCGTTCCCGATTAGTTATTTTTTGGAAAAGGGTGTTTCCTCAAGTTTTTCGTGAGTCGTTTGCTGGACGTATTTGCCGCTCCAAGAGTTGTGACTTTGGGCAGAGGTGGGTTGCGCGGACGTGGCAAAAGTGCCACCATGGCGGTGCAGAGAGTATTGAGTACGCGAAAGACGAGTGCGAAGCCGTTGACACTCATGACCTATGCCAAAGGAGTACTGAAAACATTGATGTTCACCTACCCTTTTGCCTTGGTGGCCCTGGAATTGCCTCAAATGGACATCTCTTCCTTTGAGTCGTGCAGCCGAAGAGCATGCACTTTCATGCAGGTCTTTGGCAAAGGTTTGGCCCCTCAGGAGGAAAGTTGTGCCAAACTAGGCTTCGTGAAGGCCTTTCATGTCATTGTGAATGGCCGCCATAGTCCAACTTGCGATGAAGACTACTTTTTGGAACCGATTTGCCCATCCTATTCGGAAAAGCAAATGGTGGACAAATGCGAGACATTGGAAGTCAGAGAATCAATTATCAATCCCTTGAAGAGTTCTTGGCTGCAATATGGTTATGCCGCTTGCATTGTTGGGTGGGCAATATCTAGCCTCCTGCACGACCTGCTTTTGATGCAAGACAAGAATGAGTTTCTGACTTTACGGCTCGGCTGTGTGTCTGCCCTCTTTCAACTCTTAGCACTCATGGCAGGGTTCTTTTGGAGCCAGGACGTTCTGAAGGTCTTCGCTTCTGAAGTGATTCCAGGTGTTTGCGCCTGTTTCTTTGTGCTGCCAGAGATTCGGGCCATCCTTGCAATCATGACCCCATGCCTGCTCTACAAAGAGTGCGTGGGCAAGCTGCAACAGCTCCACCGGGCAATACTTGTAGGAGCAATGCAGTGTTTTGCTCAAAATACGAAGAGAGATGTTGTGCCAGTTGGATCTCCAGTTCTTTAGTTCTGTCAGATTGCTGTTTCAAACCTATTCAACCATACGGTCGTTCTTTTAATATCCTTTGAGACACTTTGACCATGGCAGGAGATCACCTCTACTTCCAGGCATACAACGTTCCCTTTGCGTTGGCCAGGGACTCTCAGGCAGTAAACCCCGGTACCTTCGTGGTGGGAACTGCGCGTGGTTTTTACCAGGAAGACAAGAATGACGAGCGCCTCACATTTGCCCAGTGCTGCTGGCTTGCCCGGCTTCAGCGTTTGCTTCTGTTGATTTTCCTTGGTCCTGTCTCATTAAGTATCGCCTTGGCCACTGGCCCAGCGGCCGTTCGCATTTTGCAGTTTGCCAGCAATGAGCAGTTGCCCTGGCATTTAGAGATCATCATCATCCTTTGCCTTTGCTGCTTCCCTTGCTACCTCTTTTTTCGTTTGCTTGCCTTTTGTCCTTGCAACTTTCAGGGAGATCTGCAGCCTGGCGCTTGGGAAAGTCATCCACACAGAAACCTTCTGGGGCGGCTGTCACTCCTTGTCCTTGTAGTGGTTGGCCTCTTGTGGTCAACAGCAGTCCTTTCATATGAATTGCTCTCGGAAATGAGGCCGACCACAGCTGAGCACGCTTTGCTCACTTCTGAAGCTGGCGTGCTATATTTTACCCTAGGAGTGCAGCTCTATGTATGGGTGGTGGAATTGAGGTCCACCTTCCAGGCTGTTCAAATTAAGGCCCACAAGTTGTATCCACCCTCAGTATACATTGAGGTGGCACAAAGCAATCCTGAGTTCCAGCTTGACGCAGAGCTTTCTCTCGCTCAAGAATTTCTCCAAGACTTGGACACCGGAGAGCCTCAGTGGGAAAGATGGCAAGCAAAATTGGCGAGTCCAAGCACCTCAGAGGAGTCCAGCTCAGACGACCTCAGATGATTCGAATTAGATCAAGGGATCTAAATTGGCGGACTGGGTCACCACTCTCATTCTGAGAGGAGCCAAGTCTCGCACAGCGATGCACTTGTTGATGCAGATTGCACCTGATTGTGTACAGACACTTGATTGTGAAATTAGTGAATTTGTGTCTTGAGACGTCTTCAGACTCAAAGATCTACGGCAACCAGCGAAGCTGACGCCAGACAGGAGCAAGCGAGGCCACAATACAGAGCCACAAAAAGGGACCAGTGGATCTTGCCTTCTGAAAAGCAGCACACCAGACTGACAGAGCAACAGAATCAGCGTCATAGCAACCTTGAGTTTCTTGAATGTGCCCTGCTTGTGGCAGTTGAACTCCCTCATCATCATTGCCCTGTATTTCTGCACCAGTCCTGGCTCTCAGTAAGATGAACGGCTGTGTCAAGCAAATGGGGCAAGCCTGCACTACGAGCATAGGCACGAGAGTTGGAGTGACAACTTTTCTTTGTATATAGACAAATGTCACACCCTTAGTTGGAAGCCTTGGATGGTCTGGAAGACCTCTTCCTGACTATGCAAGTGACAGATAATGTCAGATGGTAAATCTTTAAAATCCAGGCATATCCAGCCTGACATGTATTGGTCTGGGAAGTCACATCATTATACCGTTGTATCCGAAGGACCCTGGAGGATCTTAGTCCAAAATGCTTGGAAACCAGTAACCCTCGGTGTACTTTGGAGTACTTTGACAATACTTCCCCTCTTGACGGGCTGCATTTGGGGCTTAAAGTACTACGCCGATGCCGATGCTGCTCAGGTGCAGGATTTTTCTATTTTTCCAGTGACATCCCCAGGAAAGGGTGCGTTTCACGAGTTGCGAACATCTCTGTTTGCTTGTTTGGAGATGCTTTTTTGCGCAAGATGTGCCACTGCAGGACTTGCAATGTGGACTTCAAAGCTAGCTTCATTTGGCCACCTCCTCAAACATACTTGTCGTCTCAGGTTGTTATAGTTACAGTTAGTATTTTCCCCTGCTGAGGCTGGGAATTTGTGAAGCAGTTCTTGGATTAACAATGATTTGCTTTCTGGGCCCACATCTCAGACTGTGCGGGAAATCTACGCGTCAGTCAACCACCAATCTTTTCACCGCTCCAAGGCGTTGCTCACCAAATGCTTTGGGCGTTGTACCATGGCGAAATCGCCCAGAAGTACAGGCCTGAAGCCAACATGAAACAAAAGAGCAGTGGGAAAAAGTAGATGGTCAAGTTTAGTACACATTCTAACCAGCCAAATGGTATAGTGGCCGTAGCCGTAGTTTTAAAAATCCCTGCAAACATCGAGGGAGAAGCTATACCTCACCACCTTGCCTTTGCTTCCATTCGCTTCCAGGCTCCAGTGTAGAGAGGAAGAAGCAGAGTCCGAGGAAAGCGACTTTGAAGAGCAGGTCGCGAAGCTGACTTTGCTAGTCTGCTAGTCAATGTGGTGTAGTTGCCAGTTGCGAAGCTGTGATGGCTCCTTTCAGCTCCACATTTCAAGTTACTGTGAGTGGATCAAAGCCTGAAGCTTCGGTGCCTCTGTTATCCCTTACACCCGATTTGCAGTCATTTAGCCTTTGATTCAGCCAGCTCAGGCAGCGAGCGCCCGGAACTGTCTTCTGTGTCCCCGCTTTGTCTACTGCGTGGCCACGATCTCAACCTTGATGTCCGAGCACCCATCCTCCAGTCCGGATTGGGTCAGATAGTCTATTGAGCGGAGCCGTTTCGTCGAAATGAGCCCCAGATGTTGCTGGAATTCCAGAAGTCTTGTTGCACTCGGAACTTTGGGCCAGGCCATACCTGCTTGTCTACTGACTGTAGCCTCATGACTTGAGTACTCCACAAGAAAAGAACTTCGGCTCTTTGGTTTGTTGCCACAAGTTTCTTGGGGCCATCAGTGTTTCAAGTTTGGATGCAAACAGGAACTCGGAACTTGATGGATCAGTGAACGCCTCTGCCAAATGGAAAGAATTACAGAGGGATCATGGAAGAGTCGAAATCGACGAGACCGAACTCCACACATCAACCTTGGTGGTTCTGTAGAATGGCGAAGAAGCTTCAGCTTGGGCTTTTGTGCTTGGGAGATGAGTAACTGCATGTTTGCCTACGGGCCCTTGGGCCCTTGCCTTGATCCAAAGCTGTGACAATACCTCAACCGCATTCAATGCCTTCCGATAATTTGTTCTTGACGCTGTTCGACATGTTCCAAAGTTCACTTTTCAGTTCCCTTCCCATTGTTCTGATTTGTATTGATTTGTCATTTGTCCTTTGCTTTTCTCCAGCAGTGTTTTTGTGCTTTCTAAGGCTTTGGCTGAATGGCGTGTATCAGGTGCCCACAATTTACCATGAAGCAATCCAGCATGTTTGTGCAATCTTCCTTCGCACTATCGAAAGACCTTTGGCCTATCATGAGCAAACCTCCAAAGGCCAAAGGTCTTGTCGTCTCGCTTTAGATTAATTCTAATTCTATCGAATTCTTGTTTCTAATCGCAAACATTGCTCCTAGTGAGGCCAGGAGCCCCTAGTAGCGTCCTTGCTCCTAGTAGCGATGCCAGGAGCCCCGTTCGTAGCTTCTTGGACCTTTGACGCAGCGACGCGCAGCCGACGTGGCGACCGTTTGGTGCCAGGCCATGAGCGCGAAGGACGAGCTGTGCGGGCATGCAGCCGAGGCTGGGGACACGATGACTGCAAGTGAGGGCCGTCCGTTATTGCCAGTGAAGGAATTTCGATCAAATGTTAAAACACACATGTCGCGAAAGGGAAACTGCAGTCCGCGAAAGGCCGGCGATAGGACAGCGAAAGACATGTGCCAACCTAGACTTACATACAATGTGCATAATACATGGCACATCCTTTTTCCCGAACAGAAACACGGATTTTCGCGAAAGGGCTGCGAAAGGCCGGCGGTAGGCCCGCGAAAGGGCGCATTGCCTGGAAGGTCATCTGCCCATCCATGGCCTTGAAATAAGCCTTGAAACATTTGTTTCAAGTATGAATTGACAAAGGGATTTAGCCTGCTTCTCAGCGCACTAACAGGTATTTAGATATCCCAAACACTGTGAACTCAGTGAAGCTCATCACAATGCGCGAAAGGAAAACCTGTGGTTTTTCTGCAAACGCGAAAGGGTCGCGAAAGGCCGGCGATACAAGCTCAAAAAGAATAGCTTTGTTGGACAACTCCCAAGTAATCACCCATGTTTGTGCAGTCTCTACACATCTAGGATTGGTGGTATGTTCGGTATGTTCACAACATAGTCGTGACAATGTGTGTCACGAGTTTCGTCTCTTCACAGCATGGACTTGCTTGCCCAAACTCTTACTTGCGGCCATGTGTGGAGGAGTTTTGGCTTTTAGCCTTCATCACCATGGCAACCACCTGCTATGCCTCGGTCTGGGCATCGGAACTCCGAGACGTCAACCATGTCTGTTGATCCTAAGCTGTGCAACACAGACGGTCTCATTCGGGAACCCTTTCTTTTTCTATGGGCCCTCTAACCTCTATGGCTCTAACCCTTTCTTTCCTTGTTCCTCAATTGGAGTCCATTTCTCAGTCACTTTCATCTTACAGCGACCTGGAAGTGTTGTGGTTTGGCATGGTTTAGCCGAGAGAGGAGTATAGCATGTGTAGTACGCATTGGTTCATTTGGATAGCCTTCAGCCATCCCTTTGAGGTAAGCTAGCATGAGCTAGCCTTTGGTCATTCCGTTGGCACTGTCCTTTTTGCAGCATTGCAACATGGACCTTGTTGCAGCGGCCGATTCCGAGGTCGATTCCAGCGGCCGGAGCACGGTCTCTTTGTAGGCGAAACAGACATTTTACTTGTTACTAGTAGCTTCTTGTTAGATGCCGTTTGGCAGGTCATTCTACCATATTACCGCCATTGTTTTCGTGTGAAAGCAGTCCTTACAGCCATCGCTTGAGAGTCCTAAAAGTCTCAACCATGGGTGGACCCGATGTGTTCTCAACCCAGTGAGGTGGTGTGATACCTATCGAAGACTATCCGTTTTGTTGGTATGCCGGACACAGCACATACTATACTCAGCAACAAAATGGAGTACAGGGGTATTCTTGTAATTATGTGCCGCTTCTTTTTAAACAGTGTTTGCATCCTTTGCAGTATTTTGTTTGCAGTGCAGAGTGTCTCAGAGCAGGGGCAGTAGATACAGTCTGAACGTGTTTATGCTGGCTTGCACATTGCTTCCCGACAGCCACTGTGCAACCATAGGAGTGGTCCGAAGCAACAAAAAGAGATAAACAAAGACAACCCGGTAGAAACCTCAAGTCAGACATGTTTGTGGCTTCAAATTCTAAGGAGACCAAGGCGTTCTATCGATAGTTGCTAGCCACAATATGCCACAATGAGGACACCACAGAGAGTTCTGCAACACGAGTCAAAAACATACTATATACACCATGCGTGTTATGAGAGAGGAAGCAAGTTTCAATGAGACGCAGCTCTTTACTGGACAATATTTTTCCTGGACTGGTGGATCTGTGTTCGCGCAATGAGCTCTCAGCTTTTGCTTCCCCTTGCGGAGCCTCCTCTTAAACAGAGTACGCTGAGCACTTGGACGAGAAGTCTCTTTGATGCTGCACACCGTTCTGTGCCTTGGCTCGAAGACTAGGGCAAAGGAAGTGAGGGCTTCAGTCAAGATTCGTAAAACGAATCATTGAGTCAAATCAAGTTTCCTTTTGTAGCAGGGGAATGGGCAGGCTGGCAAGCCCTGTGCTATGTGAAAGTGGTACTGTACCTTGTTTCATTGGCTCAGCATCGAAGTGAAGACTTGATTTTTTTTGACTTTCACCCACACACAGGCGCAGGTGCAGAGACGCTTGATTTGACAGCTTGTTTTTGTGTGCTTCACAGCACGATTTTGCTGGAGTGAGGACTGGCTAGCGGTGATTCTTGGCCCAGCCATTTCCGTGCCATTTGCAACCTGCTATGCCGCCTTAGTTTGCAGCGATCCTTCATTGCGCAACCATTTTCCTATGGTTTTGCAGCAGCTTGGCATTTTCACTCGAATACTCGAATGCATGCGGAGCAAGTCCGCTCTTGCATCCTGTTTTTATCCAGACTTCTTCCGGTCATCCTTAAAGCCATGCCCAAGGCAAGTGATGTGGACACAACTCCTGGGCCTCTTGGATGCAGACCCCGAGAACCTACGCACTAATCACTATATAATCTAATCGCTTTAGGAGCTGAGGCTCTAGGCTTGCAGTATTTTGCCAGAGGAGACTCGATATTGGGCTTCACATTCGTAGTGATAGAAGAGCCAGTCAAAATGCTTGGTTACTAAGTTTGAAAGCCCTGTGCGAAGCAGGAGTGGCCGCAGCACGTGCGCTAAAACTGACTGAGACTGAGGATCCGTGATCGCTCTCTTCGTTGGCCAATTTGTCACCACAACCAACTTGGACCCATTGACAGCAATTCTTTTTGGACAACTTGCCCGGAAGGTGTGAACCTCAGAGATCTCAGTTCACACATGTGTTTGGCGAAGCTTTTGCCATGGAGTGACTGTGGGAACAGCTTGCAGTAAGGGCCAGTTGGTCAAAATGCTGAAGATTCTTGAAGGACATTGTATGGTGACAGTGGAAATCCATTACTGTGCTGTAGTCTTTATACATTCCTGAGAGACTTATCAAACCTTTGTGATTAATAACACTCCGATGGCTTCTTGTAGAGCTCATGAGCTCAGATTCGTGTTAGTTGCACGAGCCCACCTCCAGGTGGCACGCCTTGAGATGCATGAGAATCAGGCCAATGGGCGCTGTTGACTGATCCTTTGCTGTTGTGACATTCTGAGGTGTCGAAGGGACCTGGGACCGTGACATCAAGAGATTGCCAACGACTACCACCCTATTGTAGAACTAGGCATCGACGCCAACCGGGGCCCCGCACGAAATGAGCGTTGCATTGCAAGACATCAAGTTGAAAGTGGAGAACAGGCTGTGTTTTGGATGGTTTTTGCCATGCACTTTTAAGAAGAGGTCACGTAGGTTTTGTATGTGCAGGCCCAGTATAAGAGGCCAGGGTCACTGGGGAGAAGAAATACATTTTGACAAGCTCCTTCCAGAGATCTCCCTGCACGTTCCATCGAAGCTGAAAGATGTACGCACAGCTCCACAGCCTGACACCACTCTGGCATCCGCTTCGGTCTCACTTGCAAACCCTAGGGCATGGATGGGCATGGACTTTTTCAAGAGCGTCCAGAAGTTGTCTAAAACTTGCGTGCTAGCAACGGATGCCTGCCTGGTGGGCAAACTTCTTTTGACCAGGTCTTTAGTAAACTCACGTTTATATACTATGGTTCACCTCCGGAAAGGGAAGGCTATTCAAGACACACATGTCACATGCGCTTCCAAGCTTTGTTGCCATCCCCCACAGCCGGGCTGGTTGCGCCAGCTTAGCTTAGGCTGCAGCAAAACGTGTCTGGCCGGTCCACGCTCCACGAGCGTGTAACTGAAAGTATCCAGGCGCTTTCTCCCCTGGATTTTTGTCAAGCCATGCCTTGACGAGAAGTGTCAAAGAGTTCTTCCACTCAGGGTGGTCCTCGAAAGCGGAAAAGTACCGGCTCCAACGCAACAACGGAACGAAAAAGAAAAGATGACGCAGTCGCTAGTGTGTTGGATGCCTGCGGCTGTGCATGTGAAACGACTGCGTGCAGACGTGTGCCCGCGAATGTGCCATAATGTGCCCCAACATGCAGCACTTGAAAAATCGCTAATAAAATGGTGGTTTCGCCCGGGGCCCCAGTCAGCGTCATAGGCAAACAAGTGGGACTTGCTGCATAGAATCGAAGCTAGGTTCGTGAGACTAAAACCCAAAGTCGGGATCATGGTATTCCCCCCGCATTGATGGCAGTTTGCAGGAGACGATCCTCAGCAATGTCATGTTGTTGATGCCCTTTGTCTCTTTGTGTTTGGGCGTGGTGCTCTACATCGTGGGAAAGTTGAAGCTTGTGACTCGGTTGCTGGCAAGGGATGCGGTGACAGTGACCAGTCTTTCGAGAGATCATGAATCATGGGCACCTCTGCAATCCAAGTGACCAAAGAAACCGTTCTCATACAAATGGAGCTGCCATGAGAATGTCCAAATTAGAGCAAACTGGGAACTTGTCAGAAATCCTAGAGCCAATTATATACATCGTTCAAAACGATCGGCCGCGTGTCCAGGCAATGATGCTGCGATTCATTCCGTATACCGTCGTGGCAGGATTTTTAGCTGGCAGCGGTATACTGATTCTTCAGGCAGGCCAAGTGATTCAGTAGCTTTGCAGGTTTGCTGCGAGAACTATACTTATACGTACTTCTGCCGTATTTCAGCACCTGTCAGGCTTGATACAGTACATACAGAGCCGTTGATATGCTTGCGCTGAACCAAAGTACCGAGTGCAATCGGCCAGCGGCCACGCTGAGTTTTCAGGAGTCCTTATCCTTGGCGGCTGGCATTGAGCTGTGGGTTGCTTGCCTGTTATTGGCAGGGTGTTTGTTTGGCCACAGGAGCCCCAGCACGTCATTAATCAGTTTTTGCCACATCAGGACCTTGTCCGACAGTCGCTGGTCTCCTTTACAGATCTTGCAGGAGCTAGCAACCTGGCTAGCAGCTGGGTCCAGCCACTTGGATTCAGGATGAGAGCTTCCTCTTTTCTTTGAAGGTTCCAAAGATGTCATGTGTAGGGTGATTGCTTCTGGCATGTTGTGTTATTTAAATCATTGCTCTTAGAAGCGAGATATCCGTAGATGGAGTGGGACTTGGACCTAGGGTGATGCTCGCCATACTGTTCTCAGCACTTCTTGAATTTGCACCTTGGGCTGACCTAAACATAATTATGGTGTGTGTGAGTGGTTCTTTTAGTCTTTCTTCTATTTTTGCACGCACTGGCATGTGCATCAAGCAACTTCAAGTGTTGGTATGGAGCGTACATGTATGTAAATGTGTAGCACCATTCGCACATTGAGATCTCTCAACCGACCAGTCTACGGGAAAGGGGTTTCCAAGATACCCTGTGATGTTCCTGTGCCATTAGCATTTGCAAGAACTAAGAAGGACATGGATTGAAGACGAGAAAACAACATACGCTGTTTTGCTGTGCGTTCCGAACAACAAGGTGCGAGAATGGCATATGTTTAGCACGCCGTTGGTCATGGTTGGAGCTGTTGGACTCAGCATTGCCTTGGAGAAGCTGTCAAGTGGAAGCCTGCCTCCAAGGTGGGCACCATTTGGATTGTCACATTTTGTTACCACTTGGACTTGATTTGTGAAAGTATGCGGCAAAACCATCAGAGAAGCTTGATATTTTGGACTTCAACTCTGCTGTGGACAACAAGTTCTTTTTCTTTTTTCCAGGTCTTGGTTCCTCCCCTTTCCTGAACCTGTCGATTGGTCCCGCTCCTACGATTGCTTAGATTTCTGCACTGGAAACTGGAAAGCCGATATTTCTTCTCCCTAGAGTACAGACAAAGCTGTCAGTCCGATTCAACCATATCATGAGCATCATGAACTAAGGTGGGCACCATTTGAGCCTTGGATCCGCAAGTTCTTGGTTGTTGAATGAGTCTGGGCCTGCCTCATCATGTGACAAACTTCAGAATTTGAGGAGCAAGTGCGCGATGGCTTTCACCAAAGCTATGAAAAGACGGCTGTTGCAGATATGGAGTTCATGGGGAGCTTTGTGGCTCGTCTGATTTTTTTTTCAGATTTGTTTGTTTGCCACAGACACATGGGCCACATTCATCACATGCATCCATACAGTTCCAAAGGCCACTTGTACGCTTGTCAGAGTTGTCAGAGTTGCGGTCTTGTTCCAAGTCAATGATGGGGCAAGAAACAACTCAAAAGCGCTTGTGTTTCCATACCTTTCCAACTGGGAATGTGGGACATCCGTGATCCTTGAGGACATATTGTGCATATATATATATAATATGTATACTGTATAGAGCGAGAGAGGGGAACTATAGGAAAAGATGGAAAGAGCGGAAACAACAGATGGACGCACGGACGGACGGGACGGGAAGGGAAGGGAAGGGCCGGGTGCTAATTTCCATCTCTTTCTCTTGTTTCTTCATGTATTCTCTTCAAAGTGGGTCTTCAAGGTGGTGATCATGACAGTTTCCTGGAGCATCAATACCTTGGCTGTTGCGAAACTGGTCCCTTTGCGACCGGGCCTAGAACGTTGTGATGAGCAGGAGGAGACGCCTGGCAGCCAGTCTTTGTCCCACCAACATGCATTTGCCATTGGCGTACGAATCCTCAACGTGGCCCGACCCTTCCGAAAGTTGCGTTCCAAGGATACGGGATCTTGGCGTGACCAACATATTGCTGGGATCGTGTGGAGGGCTTTGTTCTATGCAGTCCTTCAAGATCCCCATGATCATGCGATGTGTAAGGCCTGTCTTTGTTCTTGTGAAGGTTGGACAGAATCAAAGACCAGTTTAGCCAACCTCAGCAGCCGATCGAGAGCATCCAGTCTAGCGAAATGACATAGCTGAGCCGTGTCCACAAGATTTCACAATGCCAGGTATTCTTCGCACTGAGAATTCATAGGACTGCCAAGTGTGTGCTGTCCAGGTCTGGACCCAATTGGCCGTACTTTAACGTCATGATGAACATCCTGCTGTTTCTTTGCTCACCACGGAGTATTGTACAGTCTGTCCCACGCTTCCTTTTTGCAGGCGAGCTGAGAGCCGAATTGAAATATTAAGTGTAATGAAATAGTCATAGTGGATTGCGAGTCCATTGTGAAGCTGGGACCATAGACTTTGGTTCAACAGGAGCCTGATCCGACTAGTTGCGTTTCCCATCATTACGTTTTTGTTCTTGTGAACACCAGATCTCATTGCCTGTCAGCTCACAAGCGTTTGGTTTCTAACTTATATATACTTATATTCTTTTTGAGAGGATGAGATCGAGGTTGGCTCCAAGTTTTTTTTGAGCCTAGAACTCTAGCTGCTCGCTACTAAACAAGTTAGCAGGTCCCATCTAGCACCAGGACGAAGTGATCCATTTCTGCCGCGCCATCTACCCCTGACCACAGGTAGACCAGGGAGTACCAAATGGTCTCTGTGCGGTTGGATGCAATGAGTCAAATCTCCGTTTTGCATCCGTTGGGACGCGCAGAAAGCGTTTCTTCTCGAGGCACGGTGGTGCGTCTTGCCTGTGACCTCATCAACGAGTGGTTGCTGGACGCACGACGCCGGGTCTCTGCGGAGGTGCCTCCGGCGCTGTGGATACAACGGTCTCGGGTGGGGGGGCGCCATTTTGGGCGCTCGATGTATCTCGGTGTCGTCAATCTATCTCCGATTCATCTCAGTTGGCCAGTTGGCTCCGCAAAGGAGATGAAAGAAGCAGCCATTTTGTTCCTGTGGGATGTGTGTAGGAGTGGCTCGTGCTGCTCGCTACTGCCATTGCAGTGGTCCCCTGGGTGGCATTTTGAGGCAAGCTTTGAGTGGGATTTGGCAGGCAGCTCACCATGATCGATTGCTTGCAGTCCTTTTTGTCGCAGATACTGTAGATATTTCATGCACCGCCTCAAGTGTTCCCAAGGTGATCAATGTCACGCTTGGAATTCTTTTTGGACTGTTTTGCACACTGGTCGGACACCAAGAGTCAGTCAGGGGGTTAGCTTGTGATGTCTTCAGGTAATGAATCACTTACTCAAAGGTAAGTCAAGTTAAGTTTCCCCAACAAGAAAAAGCTAGGAACCAAATCATTAGTGCTGCGAGAGTGAGCTATCCTCCGTCCAGTATGGAGTGGCTTAAGTAGCTAGGAGCTTACTTGTTAAGTAGGTGCCTACTTAATTAAGTAGCGAGGGGGGAGCGGGCTTAAAAAAGAACGCCACACGCCCTGGAAGTGCTGGAGGACGAACACAATTTCAGTGACCTTAGAATCGACAGATTCACGTGTATGGACATGTGGGTAACCCGGGAAATGATTTTTGTGAAAGACTGGGTGTCCAAACCAAGTCTAATCCCAAGTACGCTCGAAGTTACGAGGGGAAAAACACGGAACGTGAAGCATGAAACTTCTTTTCAGCGTAGACCTTCGATGTGACTCAAGGGCCCTTTTTGGTACCCATTGAGCATGAAGCGAGCGGCGGATCATGAAAGATCAGTTCATGGGCCATGAACTCACACCGGTCGTTCTTTCGAAAAAGACACTCAAAAAGCTTCTTAAGTGAGCGAGTGCCTCCAACTTCAAACATGGAATCTAGGTCCCACCACTGGACCCATGCGGTCGCCTGTGAGCCGGAGTGACTCTGTTCACGCACATTGAGCAGTAATCATAGTCCCTGAACTCTGTTGTTTGGGTCAGAGCCGAACATTGGGGATCGATGTGGAACTTCCGTCCGTGCCTTGTGATGCACACGGTTTGTGGTATTCCACCGAGGTGGTTGTTGAGGTATGCTGCTTGCTGTGCGATGTCTGCCAAGTCTCGTTCCAGCTGTGTGATCATGCGCTGCTGCTCATCAAGTCTCTCATCTGTCAGGTTCTGCCTGACATCTCTTGCTTGAACTTCTATCTCAAGCTCTCTGCATCGGGCTTCAAGCTCTTTGCATTGATCTTCTAGCCTCTCGTTCTCTTTTCTCACTCTGTCCATGGTCTCATTGCCTCTTTTGATGAAGTCTTTGTATTGTGTGATTCTGGCTTCAAGCCTGTCGCTTGTCTCTCTTCTTTGTGGTGCTGGTTGCTGATGCTGCTCTTCTTGTTCTGTTTGGCTCTGGGCTTCTGCTGTGGGATTGTGTGGCTGTGTGCGCTGCCGCCAACATGCAATCAACCAACCGACAACTTGAAAAGCACCAATGCACAACAATGTACCAATCACCAACAATGTCAAGTCCCAACCTGTCTCATCATCTTCTCCCTGAGCTCTCGTCGGTGTCAACTCATTTGCGATGATCATCATGGTCAGACTCTTTTTCACACTGATCGCATTCCTCCGAGCATTATCTCTTCTCTCCTGCATGGTTTTGCGTTTTGCTGCCTGAAATGTGCTGTCGGCCATCAATGAAATTCTGTGTGTCCTCAACCTGTCGGCCAGTAGCTGTCTTGCTTGGATCTTCGTCAAACCATCTGACAGCTGAACTTCTGACGACACCCAGCGTAGCTTAGTTTTGAGGTTCTGCATCTTCTGCTTCACTATCATGCATTCGATCTGGGTCCTCTTGTCACCATTGATTTGGGGAACCTCAGCCTTGATGGCATCGTAGAGTGCTTTTGCATCTATGATCAAGGCGCTGGGCAGGAAGTGTTCTCGATCTCTTTGGTTGTCTTTCACCTGTTCCAGCTTGAAGTTTTCCTGATGACATGCTTGCCAGAAGATGTGCACGAACTCCAGTGAATCGACTGCAGCCGAACATGACTGTGCTTCAGCATTCAATGAACTGCGGGATACTCTTGGAAGCTTGAACGACCTCCAGTCAATGATGACATAGGGTTGATCAGGTTCACCTTCAAGTGCTTTCTTGTGGGTCAGGAGAACGAAGTATCCTCCTTGGCTCAAATGATCTGATCGGACACCCCAAGCAGCATCCGAAATGGACAAAAGACACAAATCTTCCAATGGTCCCAACCGTTGAAATGTTAGGCCAATGTCTGCATTGCTTTTGCCAAAACGAAGTGCTTTGTTTGCTGCTTCTGCCACTGACTGTGTTGCTCCACTCACGTTTCCACACAGTATTGAAATGCTTGCTGACATGTGAGGGGATGTCTGTGTGGATGCCCACTGCAACGCTCCTAACAACCCTCGCAAAGAACTGACTTCTCCTGGACGTAGTTCATCATCTTGCTTCTTTGCTGTTGTTGTCATTGGTTTGATCTTTTTCATGTATTCTTCTTGTTGCAGTTTCCATGCACCATTCTCACATGCAGTCAACTTGTTGCCGCAAAATTCCAACTCACCTTTGTCCTCTGTCGTCCAATGTTTGAAATTGAACTCCTTCTTGAGAGACTCCCGTGCCTTGAGGTACACTTCATCTGTTTCATCACCTGCACCAATCATATCATCAACATGTAATCCAATCAAGGATACCAAGCGACCCGATTGGTTGTGCAGCCGAAACAAACAATGGTCCAATGCATGAACGGTGTACCCAACACTGCAAAGCCTTCTCTTTGCCACCTGAAACCATGCACGGGGTGCATCAGCTTGACCGTACAGCGGTTTCAACAATCTCATGTGTGTGCCTGCTGGACAGCCCATCAACTTGCATGCATCTGCTGGGATCCTGCACCACAAAAGCCTAGCTTGTTTGTCTCCCTGCAAAAATGCTGTGCTGACATCTGCCGTGAACTTTGACCATTGCTCATTGCATGCTATGGCCAACAAGGTCTGCCTGCTGGTTCTTGACAACGTGGGACTGCTGGTTTCCAATGCACCCTGTAGCAAATCCGGATCTGCAAAGCCCTGTAGTACAAGTCTTGCCTTTGCCTTTGGATTGCCAGCGTTGTCAGTCACCCATTTCAGCACAAATCTTGCTTTCATGACACGGCTGTGGTCAATGTTCTCGGGGCTGGTCTCAATCTCCCACACACCATTCTCAAATATGGATGACAGTTCAGCTTTCTTTCCGTGAATGAATGCCAACCTGTCTTCTAGTGTCATTTTGCTTTCCTTCAAGTCATCTCTTGCTCTTCGAGTCTTCGACACTCCAACAGCGGTCCAAATGTGACCCCTGCCTCTGATTGACCATTTTCCTTTCGTCTTTTCTGCCAGGTCACCTGCATACGGCATCCTTCTTGTCTCAACTGCTTGTCTTGTCAGGGGAAACAATGTCTTGCCAAACCATGGTGTCTTGCCAACAATGTAGGGTTCATTCTGATTGACATAGATCTTTCGTTGCCCCTGTATCATTGTCAAGCCTTGTGAGGTTTGCAATTCTGACATGTGAATCCCTTCCGGCAAACTAGCTTCCGACAAATGAAATGTTTGCTCACGTGCCCAGCAATGATGTCTCACCAAAAAGCCGTCCTCATAGTTCCAAAAATCTGTTGTGGGGCCAAGAGTGAACTCCTGTGTCTTGGTGTCATAGGTCCACCCTTCTGCCAGGTCATTGAGACTTTCAACACACTTCTTGTCTTCGGTGGTTGAGGTCAGCTCGACATGAAATGCCTCCTCTAGGGAATCATCTTTCCGCTGCCGCTTGTCTATGTGTTGTGTGTCTCCCTCTCCTGGTGTTGGTGGTTCATGAGGAATTCTTAGTCCCCCAGTTGTTGAACCTCGAGCTTGGCTGGTTGATGGGGGTCGTCTCATCCACAAGGTTTCCTGCTTGTTCAACCTTGCCCTTTTCTGCTCGAAAGTTTCTGTGCCAACTGGTGTCTTGAAGATTGGGTCTATCTCCAGGTCTGGCTCTGGTTCTGTTGGTGCGACTGAGGCTGCTGGTGCTGCTGGTGACATTAGGTCATCGTCTTCTGGAACTGGTGGTAATGCCTCGGGGTCCATCATGACGTCTGTCTCGATGGGTGCTGGTGTTGGACGTGCTGCAGCTGAGGTCGGAAACTGTCTCATCAATGCCTCATTGTGAACTACATGCTCACGAGCGAGCTGATCATCATTGTCCACTTGACCATCTGCTTGGACAGTGGCATCTCCAACTTCATCTGCTGCTGGCGGTGGCTGGTGCGTGTTCGTTTCATCTGGTGGCGGTGGTAGGGCCAAAGTTCCTCCACCTGGTGCGCCACTGGCTGCGTGAGGTTCTGGTAGGTCCTCATGCTGTTGCCTGAGGATGGGGTCCAACAACTCTTCATCGTCTTCATTCTCTGGGTCAATCTCATTGAGTGAGCGGCGGTTGAGCTTGTTCAAATCTAGGATTCTCACAACTCTCCGCTGTCGAAGCTCTGCGAGTGATTGATGTACTCGCTTTTCCCCGTCTAACATGCCTTCTTCTCGGGGCATTTTCCTCACGTGCTGACGGCCAGCTCGAAGCAGGGAGGTGCCGTGTGCAAGCCAGTAAACTGCGACTGTCCCGTTATCTGGGTTGCGTTCCACTGCCAACACGATTGCAGGTCCTCTCCACTGAATTGTGTGTTGCTTGTCCGGTGCTTCTCTCCAGTACAAACAGCGCTCACCAGGGTGTAGTTCTTCATCTTTGCCGGTGAACTTCCTCAGCAGAGCTCTCCTAAGCTTCACATCAACTTCGGCTTTGGCGCATGCCGCCTGAGCCAAGAACTTCAGCTGGAGTCGTCGATGAAGCCGTTCTTGCTCTCCCATCTGAAGCTGATTGACTGTAGTCTTCTCATCTGACAGCAATCCTGGCAAGTTTGGCTGACGACCCAATGCCAACTGTGTTGGTGTGAACCCGTTCACAAACGTGTGATCATTGAGGGATGGCACTACCCAATTCAAGGCATCGTGCAGACCTGCCAAGTCACGAAGGCTGTGCTCCTTCATGAACACTTGAACACTCTTCCTCAAGAGCTGATGCCGTCTCTCCACCAAGCTTGTTCTGGTGTGTGATTGTCCTGGACTGATGCGCAACTCAATGCCGTGTTCTTCTGCCCATCTCATAGTGCTGTCGGAACCAAAGGCTGGATGCTCGTCAACAAACAACTTGCCTGGAGGTCCATGAAGTCTCACCCAACTCCTCTCGAAGGCTTTCTGCAGGCTCTGTGACTGTTCATCTGGTATGGTGCGGGCCATCATGTATCGGGATGCCTCATCCACCATCACTAGGATTCCAACCTTCTTGTTCTTCTTCTTCTCCTGGAAATCCTCAAGTGTGTTCATATCCAGCCACAGCACGTCGGCCTGTACATGAAGATTGAACTCCTTCGCTCTGTCGAGATGGGCTGGTGCCGATGACTTCTTCACAGCAAATGTGTTGCAGTAGGGGCACTCCAAATCACGGATGGCATCGAGTACCTTGGTGTCGACTGGTTTGTCCTTCAGCAACTCTAGGAGGATGTCTGGACGTGGGTGTCCAAGGTTCCGATGCAAGCGATATGCAATTCGCACCGCCTCACTCCCGTGCTTTGTGCCGAGTTTCCTCAACACTCCAGTCAACTGCTGCTCTTGTCCCACTGCATAGGCCTGTTCATGAAGCCCTTCATCTGTCATTGCTGCTTCTGCTAAGTGCTGTGCCAAGATCTCTGGATAGTCCTCTGCATGCTTGCATCGATGGCCACCTTCAAGTGGTTGATGTTGATGATCTTGACTGCACCTGCGGGACATGTGCCACACCATTGCTTGTTTGGTGGTCTGGATGGTTGTTGTTTTGCGAATTGGTGCCCATGTGCCTGTGTCTGTCCATGTGACTGCTCCGTAGGCACACTGGTCGAATGTCACTCGCATGCCTGGTAGATTTTGGAAAGCTGGTGTTTGCCATGCCTTGGATTTGCTGGGATGCTCAATGTGTGCATGTCTTCCACCTCTCACCTGACTCATGTAGAGTTTCCTGCAGAACTTCAAATGCACTTCATGATCGAGCCAACGTTTCTCTTGCAGCTCAACACAATCCTCCTCCGTCTTCATGTTGATGCTCTGCATTGTTGACCATAGGGTGCACTTTGGTGACATGAAGATCTCGTCAGGCTCCTCTTCTGCTTGCAACTCCAACAATGCTCTGCGATGCTTTGCCTTGCTGAAATCCCAACCATCTGCCAGTCCGAAGCGCCTCACTATTGCTCCTCTCCGTTGACATTCTTCCGTGAAGCGTCCCTTTCCAGCATAGACTTCCCAGACGATCTTCTGACGTCTGGCTGATGGTCGAGCTTCATTGAGCATTTGTCTCTGCTTCTTCTTGATGTCCTGAAGCTGCAACTCGCAAGCCACAAAAAGCTTCTCCAGACTTTGAACGGTCTTTTCGATTCCTTCTTCCTTTCTCTCATGCTCGGTCTCCTCCACCAAGCCATCAATTTCCGACGCCATTTCCTCATAGCGATCATGTGCTCTCATGTCTTCCAGAAAGTTCTGGAATGTCTCATTTCTGTCGTGATCATCTTCACTGTGAAGGTCGAAGGAGGGATTGCTCAACTGCCATGGATCATGCATCTGTTGACACAACTGCAACAACATGCTTCCTTGCTTGCCTCTGTCAATGTCTTTCCACGGCCCCCCCATGATCTTCACGCGATTGCCGCCGAAATCAACAATGGCCTGAAGCTTCTCCAGGATTGGTCGACCGAGCAGCATGGGGGTTGCACCGAAGATGACATAGGCCTGGATGCGTCCGGCCACTCCCTCAATCAGGACTGGCAAATTCACCATCCAGCGAGCGCATCCTTCTGCATCTCCTCCAAACCTGAACAGTTTGTCACACCTTTTGAACTCCAGGCTGCTGAGGTCAAATCCTTTGCTGTGCAACCAACGAATATACCTGAGGAGGTATTCAGTGCCAAGAAGAAAACTCGAAGCACCTTGGTCCTGGATCGCAACATCAGGCCGTTCAGTCAGCCAGCCTCCTGCTCTCACCAACTGATCACCCTGGGCGTATGCCTCTTCAACATCATGGAACTCGTCCTCCTCAATGTCGTAGTATTGCACCTCGGATGTCATGACCATACCAGCCAAGAGTGGGTCTCCATCTTCCAGCACTCTCTTCTTTGCCGGGGATGAGGATTTGCTGCTGCAGTTCGCTGCCAAATGCCCAACTTTTCCGCACCTCAAACATGTTCTTGTCTCCATTGCTGGAAGTGCGTCTCGAGCTCTTGCCTTGCCGGTCGGACCTTTTCCACTTGTGGATGACGATGAACTGCTTTTTCCACTCTTTCCTTTTCCTTTTCTATTCTTGCCCTTCTTGCCTCCGCCATGGGGTGGTGAGGACGGAGACTGCGATGAGGGACTGTATGGCATCTGCCGTTGATCAACCATTGCAACAACTGGATAGAATCCTCTGGATTGTCGTAGCTGCTGCATCCTCTGCTTGGCATCAGTGTATGCTGCATAAATCTGGTCGAACTCCTCCGTGTCAAACAGCGACTCATCTGCCTCTGCTGCCTCATAAAACACGGGGTCTTCCTCCTCCTGCCAGTATGTATCATATGGACTCTCATCTTCATCAGGCCAGGCCTCAGTGCCGTCCTCGTCATAGTATGCCTGATCATACTCCCAGTCACCTTCAGCTTCGGCTTCCTCTGTCACTGCATGAACGAGTCGGGGGTTTTTCCATCGTCCTTGCTGTAACGGAATCCGGCGTTGAGCGACGTGTGCATGTCGATGATCCTGCCCAAACAACAGATACAATGCTGGTTCAACTGCCGTCAATGTCAATGTAGTGCCGATGTGGGTCTGAACCATTGTTTGTTGTTCTCTTGTCAATGCAGCCCGTCTCAACATCAGCCATCCTGTCACTTCTGGTGGCAATGAGATCTTAAACTTCATCAACTCTCGAAGCGACTGGTTGAACTCTGTGCAGTATTCCAGGAGGGATTGCCCTTGCTTTCTGACCATCTTGAAGAAGAACTTCTCGAATGCTTCTGGCATCTCAACCTTCTCGTCGTACTGCCACTGTGCATCCAATCGTTTCAGGATAGCCAAGATGCCTTCTTCTCTGGCCAGTTCGCTGATCTCCAGGTCTTCACACTGGCGCCACGAAGCGCCATCCAAGACAGCGAGAACATTCAGGGCCGTTTCTTTCTCTCTTCCTTGTAACTTTTGGCGGTGTGCATACAGCTGAACTCTCTTGCGCCACTCCTTGTATCCAACAGTTGTATTGTCAAACTTCGGTACGAAAAACTTGTCAGATGCGGAATCCGGTTGCCTCACTGAAGAGGTCTCCTGGGACATGGCTCCTAGGGCGTGCCGCTACCGGAGCCGACGTGTTGTCGGCTCCGCTACCAATGTGAAAGACTGGGTGTCCAAACCAAGTCTAATCCCAAGTACGCTCGAAGTTACGAGGGGAAAAACACGGAACGTGAAGCATGAAACTTCTTTTCAGCGTAGACCTTCGATGTGACTCAAGGGCCCTTTTTGGTACCCATTGAGCATGAAGCGAGCGGCGGATCATGAAAGATCAGTTCATGGGCCATGAACTCACAATTTTGACATTGTTTGGCAGGGAGGCTCTTGTCACACCGTCGCATGTTCTGAGGTCTCTCTCTCTCTCTATACAGTAAAAAGCGAGGGGATCCATCTAGAAATGGCTCCACATGATATAAGTAGTGTCAACCACCTAAAATGCCTCAACTTAGTGACATCATGAACAGCCATATACTTTACGATTACAATCCTAGACTATGTACAGTTGTATATAATCCAGACTACGTGTATAATGTGTATATATATACTGTATATATTTCGAAAGAGATAAACGGCTTCGCACGGAGTCATTTCATGGCCCGTTGCAACAACACTAAAACCAGAGTTCATGTTGAAGCTTCTCATCCAAGCCTGCATAGCCACGCAACAGAGCATGTCGTCCAACACAATTGTAACGACATGCGTACCCTGATTTCAACTTGTAAATTTTGTCCAAAAAGGCCAGGTCGGACATGTTAATGATAAAGGTCGTCCCTTGTTCTTCAAGTGGCTGTATTGTGCGTTGATGTGTCAATTTCAAGAATCATACATCAATCCAAATCCTCAGGTCAGTCTATCGTTTTCATTTCCAGTTGTGCTGTCCTGAGGCATGGTTCGCTTTCGAATACACAAATGTGACGGGCGTGGCCCATGAAAGTACCTTGAGCGAGCCGGGGCTCTCAGCGATCCCTGTTCCAGGAGTATTGGCAAAAGGCAGTTTCAATCCTGCATGACAATAAAGTCCCTGCTGTTGGCAAGTGAGCGGCTCAGGTCTTCGGTGTCCCAAATGGGTTTGCACCTGTGTTTCTTTCTCCCCATGCAGCGCATGCGTCAGGAGCCGCTCCAGGGTCGAACGATCTGAAAATGAGCACAAGCTTTTGCAAGAACATGGTGGATCCACCCTAGCAGCTTGGCTATGGAGACGATTGGAGACGAAGTGCAAGGCATTTTTGCAGAAGAACCCAGTCAATCATTGCCATTGCATTAATATACAGTAATATGTCATGTACAGAAGGCACAACGACAACCTGTCAGCCACTTGATGCCCACGCCCACTTCTCGCATTCCTCGGTGGCACTGAGATTCTTTGGCTGAACGGCTACTTCTTCTTTGGCCTGGCCTGCCAGGCAGTTTACTGCTTGGGGAGTCGTTCGACACGCTTGAGATGACCTGATAACGCTTTGCAAGCGGCGCGTAGTGCAAGTGTGGTTCTGCCATGCATCCTAGTGCACGGCTTTAATTGACGAATTGAATAGAGACGCTAAATATAAACCAACGCGAGGAGACCCTGAATGCCAGCACAAGTTCGCGTTGCGATTGCGGTTTGTGAGGTTGCCCATTGTCCCACATTCCGAAGACCAGCTGTCATCATATCAAATCTTGATGGATTGGTCATGAGGTGTATTTTGTTCCCTCGTTTTTGAGCTCTAGATTTTGCTTTGACTCTAGTCTGCAAGATACAGAGCAAGCTTTTTGTTCGACAGGCTCTTTGTGCTTTCATGGCCTTCCAGCACCTTTCCGAGCTCCACAACCCCATCCTTTTCAACCCATAAACCGATCATCCTGCAGTCCTGCAGGTCATCGAGCAGATTCGAGAGACAATTAAGGGTCGAAAGGCCTCTGCTGTGATTTTGGACTTCTCCAATGTTCCTGCGATCGATGCTACTTGGACATGTGAAGATCGCTTTTGGCCAACAGCTCGCCACCATGGCACAGTACAAGCTGTTTCTTGAGGATGAGTTTGTCAGACTCTTTCGGATGCTTTTCAAGCATTTCATGCTTTCCATGCACACTTACGGCCTATTCAAGGCCAGTGGCGTGTGTGCGTTGGTGGAATTGGTCCAGGACACCGTCCCGGACAGTTTGGAAACACATCCACAAACACATTTTGCGAAAGGTTTTGCCCACATGTTCTTTCGGAAAATATGATGCCACTTTGTTTCTGTACTTGAGGGATACATAGACATAGCCTGTTCATCACAACTTTGACCGTCTTAGAGCAGGTTCCTCAAGTCTCTCCTAGTTGGCTCTACTCGCACAAGAAAAGGCTTCAACTTATTGTGTTGTCGCTCTGATGGGCAGGAGCTGCGAGATCATCGCATGTATGGGGACCTGAGAGCTGCGAGCACATCCAAATCCATCAGAAGACTGGAACTTGTGGGCCCTCGATTTTCAGAAGCCTAACTTTTATACGCGCACAATTTAATGACCTAGATCGGATCCCTGAATGTTGACGATGGGTGCCTGGCCAGTCTGACTATATATCCATATGCCTTCGATTCCGTATCCAACATGCATATGCTGGATGTTTGATATCATCACACACCAAAGTAGCATATTCATCGCATACTCTACATTTGTGCATGTTTGGGAAATGCGTTTGGTCTGAGGGTTCGTGTAATCTTCTCTGGCATGGCGCGGCGCCTGACAAAGTCTTTAGAGACTGCAGCACAGCACCAGCAGGTGGTTTGCTTGGGACAGCATGGTCTGGGCGGTTTGCTCGGGTGTCCCCATCGCATCGTCCATCCAAGCCCATCAACGTGTGTAACTGCACACGATGTTCGTACAATCATATGAGCCTGACTCCGGACAAGAGTTGTCTCCAACATGAAGAACTTTCATATTCGAGGGTCGGCTGATCGCTACAAGTTTGATCGAGCCTCCAGCTTGGTTCAGCTCCTAGCAATATATCTTCAAAACACGAAACAGCCTGGGAGTGCAGGTGGACTTGGTCTTGGAAATGTTCCTAGATCTGGACAAGGCGAGAATGTGCACGAATGCTTTGTTTTTGCTCACCAATCTCCCCACGGCGGCCAAAAAAGGACCTTCCGGAATCCTCCGCAAAACACCCAAGAAACAGCTTTGCTCCAACAACGGTAGCTTTGGTTCCTTGGACACAAGCATCTACATTTCAATCTACATGAGATCCACCTACACGGGGATCCTAGATCCAATGCTTGGTCCACAGGCCGTGGAGTGCTGTGAGGAGACTATCTTAAAAGGCTTACCAATGCAAAAGAAGCCTGGAGACTCAGATCCAACTGAATAACTGATCAAGTTGATGTTGGTTTGGCCAATTGGGCCGACCATTGCGACCATTTGTACTAGGACCACCACCACCACCACGACGACTGCGACTACTACTACTACTAC